TAATATCAGTCCTCCTATATGGCAGTGAATGCTGGACAATCTCCGCACAGATGAAGAAGAGACTTGAGACAAGAGAAACAAAGAAAAGGGTGCTGAACGGTTATATAATATCAGTCCACCTATATGGCAGTGAATGATGGACAATCTCCGCACAGATGAAGAAGAGACTTGAGACAACAGAAACAAAGAAAAGGGTGCTGAATGGTTATATAATATCAGTCCACCTATATGGCAGTGAATGCTGGACAATCTCCTCGCAGATGAAGAAGAGACTTGAGGCAACAGAAACAAAAGAAAAATTTGCTGAACGTTTATATAATATCAGTCCTCCTATATGGCAGTGAATGCTGGACAATCTCCTCGCAGATGAAGAAGAGACTTGAGACAACAGAAACAAAGAAAAGAGTGCTGATAAATCTTGTGGACGGTTATATAATAGTCCTCCTATATGGCAGTGAATGCTGGACAATCTCCTCAGATGAAGAAGAGACTTGAGACAACAGAAATCTGAAAAAATAAAACTGAACGGTTATATAATATCAGTCCTCCTATATGGCAGTGAATGCTGGACAATTCTCCTCGCAGATGAAGAAGAGACTGAGGCAACAGAAACAAAGAAAAGAGTGCTGAACGTTTATATAATATCAGTCCTCCTATATGGCAGTGAATGCTGGACAATCTCCTCGCAGATGAAGAAGAGACTTGAGACAACAAAACAAAGAAAAGGGTGCTGAACGGTTATATAATATCAGTCCTCCTATATGGCAGTGAATGCTGGACAATCTCTCACAGATGAAGAAAAAGGACTTGAGGCAACAGAAACAAAGAAAAGGGTGCTGAATGGTTATATAATATCAGTCCTCCTATAAGGCAGTGAATTTTTTGGACAATCATCACAGATGAAGAAGTTTTTGAGATAAGAGAAATAAATTTAAAAAGGGTGCTGAACGGTTATATAATATCAGTCCTCCTATATGGCATTTTTGCTGGACAATCTCCTCACAGATGAAGAAAAGACTTAAGCAACAGAAATATGTTTCTACGTATGATGGTTGGTTGATTTTTAGAGGCATATCAACACATCTATGTGTTATTTTGACCTGTTATTTAATGTCAAAATCTAAATAACCAGCATGTAATTTTATGCTTTCAACTATAGATACCTTGTACGTAATTTTATACTCTCAGGGTAAAGGTATATATTTTAGATATATAGATTCTAGATGGTAAAATGTATTGTTGGTAATTTTACTATGAAAATGTATTTTTATTTTTTTAGTGTTGCATTAATTGTCATTTTGCTATGAAAATTGGCTGTTGGTCAATTTGATATAACAATATACTGTTGATTTTTGTTTGGGGGTTCACTATTTGCCCATAGCTAGGACCCTAACAGGTGCTACCACCACGGGTAGTGAAACTCGGAACAATAGCAGTTAAGAGGTGGTTCTATGGTCTCAAAGCCAGCAAACGATCAGAGGCCTTGCTACTGGATGTAGTTTATCGTCATACACAAGATGCTGTTTCTACAGAAGGTTGTTAAGAACATCGTGGACCGAACATGTAAATAACGGCATAGTTTCAGAGGAAAAACTTTTTTATTTACAAAAATATTTTTATATTTACAACATTCTAAAAACTAATAATATTAAAACAAATACAATGCAATATTTATCATTTACCAATTTATAAAGAAATAAATGTGAAAACAATTTTTATTCATTAATTTATAAACATTTACTAAATTTACTAAAATATGTGAACTAGTGTAACCCTGATATAAGAGACCCGGATATAAGAGAAACCCGGATATAAGAGAGATTTTCTCTGGTCCCAAATTAGAGCCTGTGTTAATGTATATAAAATAGACCAAACCCGGATATAAGAGAAACCCGGATATAAGAGACTTCTTCTTTGGTCCCGACAACTCTCTTATATCCGGGTTACACTGTATAAGAAAATCCTTATTATTTATCATTCTATAAATTTCGAATCAATTGCCAATTAGACGATGTTTTGTCAACCATTCCAATAAAGAATATAATAGTGTAAATAAAAAAAAATTTAAATCAATAATATTTATATTTTTGTTGTTAATTCTCAAGAACAAAGAAAATGTATTTTTACATAGTAACAAAAAAGAAAAAAAAAAGCCTTGACACTTTATGAATGTACTTCAAAATTTTTCTAAGATTAAATTCGTTTACCCCAGAACATTCAATAAAATATCCTTTTTTTGAATTTCATCGTCTGTAAATGATATTTTTTATAAAAATTGTTTCTCAAACGGAACAAGCATAACGAAATGTACTGAAAAAAGAAAAAGAAAGAAACGTTCCTTCAAAATTGTGTATGTGGACATTTTAGGTCAGTGACGAGAGAAAACAAACAAAACCAGTTCATTTATTTCTGTTCACTCAGGTGTTGGCTATGTTCATATGTAAATGAACTGAATAGACACAAGAAAGGGAGATCACTCGTACTGGCTTGGTAAAACTAGAAGAGGGTCAGTGTAATTGTTGGTGTTATTATTTTTATTTCACGTTTTATTTATTGCGTAGAGTTCATACGATTCCCTGACAATAATCGTAGTATTGTTTGAAAAAACGTATAAACATTTATTTGCCTCGATGCACATTTACACAAGAAGAAAAAAAAAAAAAAAAAAAAAACGAAAGTATATATTTTAAATCTTCTTGCTTATTTTGTAACTGGTTGCAAAGGAGTGATAAACAAATTTATAAAGTTTCAGAAAGTGGGCATGAAATCTGGAAATCAATGCAGAAAAGCATTTATGTATAATTCACTTTCATATGTCTTGGTTTTATTCCCATTCTAATCATCGTTTTCTAAAAAAAAAAAAAAAAAAAAAGAAAGAAAGAAAGAAAAAAATACATTGCCGAAGAGTAAAGTTAGTTAAAAAAAAAGCGATGTCATGGGGTAAAAAAGGTCATTTTAACACAGCGTCTTATTGTGGTCACGTTTGTGAATGTTTGCCCCCAAATATATTGGCCTGAAATAAACCTAACGAAATAGGAATAGTGCAAGGGAAACAACTCTTGTTGCTTTTGAAGTTAAAATCTCAAAAAAACAAAAAAAACAAACAAAAACAAACAAACAAAAAACAACAAAAAACAGACAAAATAAAACAAAAAACAAATAACAAACAAACGAAAAAAAAACCCAAAAAACAAAACAAACAAACAAAAAACAAAGAAAAACAACAAAAACAAGTTATTTCTCGTTGTTAAACAACTGGAAATAATAAGTCGAGGTTTATTTTGTTCAATTTTTTGGTTGCATAAAAATATTTTTCATGGTGATCTAAATATAAAATAAAGATTTATGGTTTATATACCATTTTAAAATTTAAATAAAATTTAAATAAATGAACGAAAATTAATGAATTAATTAAAATTAATAAAATATATTTAAAATTAACAAATTAAATATAAGAAAAACAACATCATTTTCTTAATAAGTTATCAGTCTTTTTATTTGACAGTGAATGCTGATCAGTCATTTGACAGGTGAACAAAAACTGGAAGAAACATAAATGTGGTTCTACAAAAGGATGCTGAGAATAACATGGACAGAGTGCGTAAGCAACGAAGAAATATTAAAATGGAAACAAAACAGAGATAGCTGAAATTACTTGGATGCACAATAAAGAAGAAGGGCTTGGAGAATTTTACACTCACAAGAGCACATCGATGGCGATAAGAACAGGGGAAAGCAACGGTTCAAGTACCTGACAAGCTCGTGTGAATGGATAGCGGAACAGGGTGCAGGGTGTATGGTAAAGGAACAGACGTTGAAAGGGATAAGTGATTCTGGATAGCGATGATCCTCTATGTCCTGAAGGGAACGGTGGATGGCTGAAGAGAAATGCTGGGTCCACAAGAAATATCCTGAAGTTGCTGTATCTCGTGTCTAGTAAAGGCATGAACCGTGAATTTTCTACATACTGTCCAATCGTTGCTTTTATTTCGTCTAGTTACAGACTATTCACAAAGTTGCATCATTCGACTCTAATCTTTTTGCAAAGTAGGTTTAAAATCAAGATTTCCCTTCTCTTGCATGGATTACTTTCCCAAGCTGACGAGTTCCATCTATTCGAAGCAGCTGGTTATGAGGCGCCAGTTGTTCATCTTTGCTCCTTCTTCGACCTGTAGATGGCTGTCGAGGCTCATAGACATGGATTTTATAGTAGAATTGTCCTCAGTACCACCCCGGCTATGACAACCGTTGGGATATAGTGATTTACTAAGCGATAAAGATGTGATACAAAGCCAAAAATATGGAGGACTAGTCAGTACTAATTGATATAGATAGACAAGCTTGCAAAAAATATTTTCTAAGCGTAGCTTAGATGGAGCATAAAACCGAAAATGTGGGACACCCAGTGAGGATCGAACTCACTATTCAAAAATTTACTTTGTTTGGCAATGTATATTGTTCAGCAGTAAATTTTATGTGAAGAAGGCCGGAGCGCACAACGGCCGAAACGTAATAAATATGGCGACAAAGATGAGGACAATAGTCCGAATCATGTAAATAGTGTACATAATAGCTCATCTCAGAAATATAGACAGATACTAAAGGGCCAAAACGTTGTAATAAATATGGCAACAAAGATAAGGACAATAGTCCGAATAATGTAAATAGTGTACATTATACCTCATCTCAGAAATATAGACAGATACTGAAGGGTTAGACTCAACCGTTCGACATTCCAATCACCTGAAGAAGGCCGGAGCGTACAACGGCTGAAACGTTGTAATAAATATGGTGACAAAGATGAGGACAATAGTCCGAATAATGTAAATGTTATTTAGCGATGTATATTATTTATGAATATATAATTTAGCAGTGTACATTATCTTGTGATATTAATTAGCAGTGTATATTACTTTGTTTGGTCATGTATATTATTTGACAGAATATTTTGTTTAAAAGTGTACCTTATTGAGAAGCGTATGCTATTTAAGCGGTATATTATGCCCAAGCGGGCACCCAGCTAGTTACTGACCAGGCACAGCGTTACTTAACTTCGGTGATCTTACGGGAACTGGTGTTTTAACGTGATGCGGCAAAGCTACAGTGTCTTGACAGTCGTCTTCAAAGATTTTATACATACATACAACTAATTATATATATATATATATATATATATATATATATATATATATATATATATATATATATATATATATATATATATATTACGGTGACATTTTTTTTTCATGTATCGGTATTGAAATAGCACCTCATCAGGTTATAGTTGATAACTAATGAACATTAGTTATCTACCATCGCCTGATGAAATACCATCTCAGTACCGAAACATATAAATTTATTATAATAAAAATATTGTAATTTATTTTTTATATATATATATATATATATATATATATATATATATATATATATATATATTGTAATAAATTAAAATATTTTTATTATAATAAATTTCATTTAGATATATATATATTGTAATAAATTACAATATTTTTATTATAATAAATTTCATGTTTCGGTACTGAGATTGTACTTCATCAGGCGATGGTAAATAACTAATGTTCATTAGTTATCAACCATAGCCTGATGAGGTGCCATCTCAATACCGAAACATGAAAGTTTTTGTGTAGCGATGTAAAATGTTTTTATTGTAATTTGTTATAATAAAAGTATTATAATAATATTTTCCTCTACTTTGTATTGAGCACTTTAAAAAAAAATAAATGCTATGAACTGTGGATTTTTACCCCATCTGTTCTTTCTCTCATTTGTATATATATATATATATATATATATATATATATATATATATATATATATATATATATGATCGTAACAGACTGGTATAGATACTTTTTTTCTGTTGCATTCATCACAACCATCTGAATTACCTCTAAGGTAACACGACAAATTTAACCTGTTCAAGTCAAAGGTCAGTCGCTATCTATCCTCCTTATCCTCATGATCTTTATTGCTTTCTCCTTCCTTTGACTGACCTTATATTCGTATCACTCACTTCATACAGTATCCCTCTACCATGTTTGGCTCTTGTGCCTTGTATTGGGCAAACGTTGGCTATAAAAAAAAGAAAAAAAGAAAAATCCTTTCATGATTTCTCTATAGTCCAAATTTCCGATTCCAACCGTCAGATTTTCAAACTGGCGATAAAACACTGACCTTCGTCAAATACATCAAACAGATGTTCCCGATGCCAAATTTGACGGAGGGAAAAAAAAACTTCACACAAATTTATATAAATCCAGTGAAATAGCAGTATTCGTTTTGCCACGTCTGTTGCGTCGCAAGATTAGACACATCACTCCTCGCCTCCACGTTTATAAGCGGACAGCAAGTTCATATCTTCCTCAAGTGACCCTGTTACTTCAAACACCGATAATGTCCCTGCTTTTGCGCAAAACATTATTCATCATGATCAATCCCATGACCAGATATGGTCGTAGGGTTGTTGCGCAGCTGAGCACCTTATTAAGGGAGCTTACTTTAACGCATGTATCCACTAAGTATTACGCCCATAATAAGATATAATATCATACTGTAAATTAATTCCTTATATAGTAATGTAAAGTTTGGTAATCCGTATGGATAATGCCAAGGAGGATATAACCCAGAGAGCTTAATATCAAATCAGAGCAATTAATAATTCAAGTTAAATAGAAAAGAGACAACCGTGTCTGTCATACCTCTCCCCCATCTCTCTGTATCACTTTACATCAACTTAAAACTACCCCTCAAAAATATGTAAAAACCATATGTAAATTAAAAAAAAAATTTCACCCTTGGAAGTGCGGTCTGATGAACCAGGTAAAAATCGTATACCTGAGGAAATAAATTATAACCAATAGACCCTAAAGGCTGTCTGTTTTCTATTTAAATTGAATTTATATATATATATATATATATATATATATATATATATATATATATATATGTGTGTGTGTGTGTGAAAAAAATATATGTGAAAAAAAAATAATAAAAAATCTATTAAACAATAGACATGAGTTAACTGTTTTTTGCCGACATCATCAAATTTTTACATTGAATAATTAGCATAAAAAACTAACAAACAATAAAATAATTTTTAAAATCCATAGTCCTAATAAATAGTTTAAATGCCCCACAAAAAAGATAACCCTTTATGAAGTCGTCAAAAAACAAATGTTAGCGTTTTACGACAGTTTTTATATACACAAAACCCTTTCAGAAAAAAATAAAAAAATAAAACAAAAAAATAAATAAATCTCCATAGACATTTAACCAGACTAGCATTGTCATCTTCCGCTTTAAATTTAGACACCCCAACCTTACCCTGAATTGACATCTGTGAATGTAACTGAGATATTGATACAAATTATTAACACCTCACGCCCCTTTTTCTTTAAACAATTGCTCTAGCCGTTACTATAGAAATTTTGATTTCAATAATGAACATGCTTATAAAACACGTAAATTTCAGAAATAAGTTATTCCAAGAAAATTTCGCTCGAAAATGGAACAGAGCTTCGCACTTTAATTCAATTTAATTCAAATAAGTATATTGAAGTTTTCGGCTCTTGTTTTGAAACATGAGAACTCTTATGTAGCGTGTTGGAATCATATTTTTAAATAAATAATTATATATATATATATATATATATATATATATATATATATATATATATATATATATATATACAATTCTCGTTGCTTTGCTCATTTTTAGGGATATCGCGTCTTGTTTTATTTTTAGTTAGTACTATTCAGTTATTGCTTGCCTGTTTCCTCCGTGTGCAAGTAGACACTGCCCGACCCAGGAATTGAAATCACAACTACTGTGTCATCAAATTCTCAAACCAACGGTTTGGCCCAGAAAATCGTTGTCCCGTCGGACAATTTGCCGTAGTAAACTTAGTAATCCTATTGCCTTAAACTTAACCTGCCTCATGATTAGGTTACAACTTCTGTAAGAAAAAAACTTTAAAAATTTTTTCGACAAGATATTCGGTTTTCGTTGGCGAAACCCACCATTCTTCTAGGGATAGCATACTGACCTTGTAAATTTTGAGATGCTCCTCAACTCTTGTGTCAGATTAAAGAAAGCCTATCAAGTTTCTGTGTAAGTGCGTCTCAGTGTTTCTTAGGTGTGATTTTTTGTTCTCATATTTACACGATACCGTTGGCAGGAAACATTATTCATCGTCGAGCTAATGCTGCTGTCTTTTTGGCTCTATGACAGTGCCGAGTCGACTATCCTCCGTGTCAAACGAGAACTCAGCCCAGAATCGGTGCATCCAGCTAAACCGCTCCCCTTCTCTCGTCCATTTCAGGCGCTATTCCAATAATTTCAAATTGAATCAGAAATAATCAGTGACATGACTTATGTTTACCGCCAAGAATAATTTGGAAGGGTGGCATTTGCCAAATTCTTTAATGAATGTGTCACGTCACACAATGATACTCCTAGGAAAGGCCTGGTGAGTCGATGCCACGGAAGGCCTTTTTGTAAGCTGAAAAGCACAAAGAGAACCTTTTATAACAGCGATGAGAAGTGAAAGCTTCTCTCTTGTGGTAAAACGTCCTTTTCTTCTTAAAATCTTTTTTTCATGTATGCTTTATTCGTTCGACATTGACTTTTAATTAACAAAATAGATTGTTAAACGAAATTCATAATAATCAATATTATATATATATATATATATATATATATATATATATATATATATATATATAATCAATATTAGAAACCAGAAATGATATCCGGCGTTGTGAAAACGCTTCTATTTGCTTTTAAACGCCCCGAAGTTGTTTCGTTTTTAAGCGCGCCTTCTCGGACTAACATTTCGTTGACATGAAGTGGAAAGATTATATTGTTGCTAAGTCTGCTGCTAGAAAATTTGGTGGCCTGCTTTGCGCTGAATAATTTTTTTATTGCCAGAATCTATTTTTTTACATATTTTAAAGTCTACCACACGTCCTTGATTTCAATATTGCAGCCACATACTGTCCGGTGCTCCTGCTATATACTTAAAGATTCTTGATAGAATTCAAAGAAAAATCTGCAATGTTATTGGTCCTAACCTGGCAATGTTATTTGCGCGTAAGTGAATATAACGAACCCAACGGGAATTGGAACGCGGCTCTCCGATTTGTAATTCCAAGATCTTATCCATTACACCATCCGCGCATCCAAGCTTACAGCTCCTGGTATGCCTAGCGGTCACCCATCTAGGTACTCGCCAGGCTCAACGTTGCTTAATTTAAAGTGAGGAATGGAAAAATTCCGTTAGAACGATTGCTGGGTTGCTGTGTGTTAGGAATCCTCTTATATGATAGTGAATGTTGGACAATCTCCCAACGGATGAGGAGAAAAGTAAGGGGAGCAAAAATGTGGTTCTACAAAAGGATACTGAGAATACCATGGTCGGAGCGAGTAAGCACCAAGGAAGTCTTAAAGAAAATAGAAAGAACACTTGTACTCAGAATCAGGAAAAGACAAGTGAAATCCCTTGGACACAACATGAGAACGTGGGGGCTGGGAAAATTTGACCCCTATTATTATTATTGATTACTTTAAATTTGACCCCTATTATTATTATTGATGACTTTAAGATTTTAAAGAAGATATATTTATGGATATTAGGAGAGATATTTCAGAAATTGAGGTTTATTTTTAATGTATATGTTGCTGTTTATTCGGTCTAATCGGGTATTTTGTATTATTTAAAACAAAGTTGTTTTAACAACAAAATCAGCAAAAACAAAAACAAGAAGAAAAACAACAATAATCATAATAATAATAACAATTGGTTTAATTTTTATTTTCTGTTATTTATCAATTACTTTCATTTATTTATTTAAAAAGATAAATAATGATAATAATAATAGTAGTAGTAGTAATAATAATAATAATAATAATAATAATAATAATAATAATGCAGATTCTCTGATAAACCCGGCATGACAGAGTGGGCCAATATCTGCACCGGAAAATCTGCAACTTCTACGGGAAGAAAACTGAAAGAAACTGGTATGAACACCACCCAGACCCGGTTACGAAGATAGGACC